TAAGAACGATACATGGGAGCTTGTTAAGCGTCCAAAGGGGCGAAAGGCGATTGGTTGCAAGTGGATATACACGAAGAAGGAGGGCATTGAGCGTACTCCATTAAGGTTCAAATCTAGGTTGGTTGTGAAGGGCTATGTACAGGAGGAAGGTATTGACTATAATGAGGTTTTCTCTCCGATAGTGAAGCACTCTTAGATTCGGATTTTGCTAGCTTTGGTGGCATAGTATGGATTAGAGCTAGATCAGTTGGATGTGAAGACGACATTTCTTCATGATGATCTTGATGAAGAAATATATATGACTCAACCATTGGGATTACGAGCTACAGGGAAAGATAAGTTGGTTTGCAGGTTAAAGAAATCGCTATACGGTTTGAAGCAGTCACCTCGACAGTGGTATAGGCGATTTGATGGTTTTATACTTGGACATTCGTACACTCGGAGCCAGTTTGATCTTTAAGTGTATTTTCGTAAGTTAAGAGGAGGTGCGTACATTTATTTGTTGCTTTATGTCAATGACATATTGGTTGCCTCTACTTTCAGGTCGGCTATAGATGAGTTGAAAGTTTAGCTTTCAAATGAGTTTGAGATGAATGACTTGGGTGAGGTCAAGCACATTTTGGGAATAGAGATCGGCAGAGACAAGAAGAATGGCAGAATTTGTTTGATACAGGTAGCTTATTTGAAGAAGGTTTTATAATGATTTTATGCTAGAGAAGCCAGTTAGTATACCATTAGGAGCCTATTTGAAGCTTTCAGCTGGTCTTTCACCAAAGTCAGCTGAAGATCGAGAGTTGATGTCAAAGACTCCATATGCAAGCGTGGTTGGGAGCTTGATATACGCGATGGTATGTACGAGGCCGGATTTGTCACAGGCGGTGAGCATAGTTTCGAGATACATGCATGATCCAGGAGTGGGTTATTAGGACGTCGTGAGATGGATTTTAAGGTACATTAGAAGTACGCTCAATGTTGGTTTGGTTTATGAGCGGGACACTATAGGTGGACAGCTATGCATTGGCTATGTTGATTCGGATTATGTCAGTGATTTGGATAAGCGTCGGTCTATGACGGGGTATGTATTTACTTTGACCCGTACGCCGGTGTGTTGGAGATGCACCTTACAGTCGACGGTGGCTTTGTCTATAACGGAGGCAGAATATATGGCGATTACAGAGGCTGTGAAGGAGGCTATTTGGCTTTAAGAACTTTTGGAAGAACTTGGTATATCGCAGCGGTCTATCACTATTCATTGTGATAACATGAGTGCTATCTATTTGGCGAAGAATCAGGTTTTTCATACGATGACGAAGCACATTGATGTTCGTTATCATTTCGTTTGAGATGTTCTTGAAGATGGCGATGTGGAAATTGTGAAGGTCCACACGAAGGATAATCCGGCGGATATGCTCACCAATGTGGTTCCGAGCAATAAGTTTGATCATTGTCGAAACTTGTTACACAATCGTGATTGTTGAGGCCGTTGACGGCCATTTGGATGAACTACGAACGGCTTGATCCCTTGGGAGAGGGGGTACGTAGGCAACCACATTAGTGCAACCGAGTTTGGAGAGACGACGCATTGGTGCTCATATTGGTGTCGGCTCAATGTTGCGAACACTTCGCCGAGGTGAAGAATTATGAAAACGGCGAAGGAATTAAGAAAAACGTGAAGAATAAGCAAAACAGACTCCACCACACCCTGGTGTGGTGTCTGCCACACTGGTGGTAGAATCTGCCCTGTTTGTCATGGGTGTGGTGTCTGCCACACCCTGATGTGGCAGAATCTGCTCTGTTTGTCATGGGTGTGGTGTGTGCCACACTAGGGTGTAGCAGACTCGTTTTTAGAATCCTAATCTATTTGGGATTGTGTTTTGTTATAAATAGAACCATATTTTTTAGGGTTTCTAAAGGAGAGAATTAGTATTATTTTGAGCACTTTGAGAGGGAGATATTGTGAGGGAGTTGACAGCTTTGGTTAGGGTTATATTTGAGTGATTTTGTGAGTTGTAACCCGTTATATTTCTCCTCCATATAGTGAAATCTCCCCATCCTCTTTCCATGGACGTAGGCAATTGCCGAACCACATAAATTCTTGTGTTTATGTGTGATTTTGACCATTATTTTGTAAATTGCACTCGTGTTTAGTTTTTGGTTTTTGGTTTTCTTCTCTCATCACTCACCGACTCGTTTGGTTGTCGAGCACACTTCCGCACGGCGCGCAACAAGTGGTATCAGAGCACAACCCCCTAGACTAATATATCAATAGTAATTAGTTTGTGGACCTCTTATTTTGACTAAGGATACTTCAAATAAAAAAAAGCATGGGGGTTCTACGGCTAGGGGTGAAAATGAACCAAATAGTTAATAAATAGTTTGATAATTTATTGATCACACAAATATTTCTTAGTGTTCCAATTTACTAACGAATAAATTTTAACTAAATGTATATTTAATTTGTTTGTCTATCAAATATTTGTTTCAAATTTTATCATTTTATAATTGCACATATGATACTATATTTTAACCCACTTCCCATTTCTATTTAAAATTTATGTGCTGATTTTAAGACTTAAATAAGGTTAAATATGTTTTCTAATTAAAATTTTGATTTAAATATATATATTATATATTATAAAAGAACAATTTTTATTTATGAATAAAAATATTATAAAATTAAATTCTTTAACGGAATAAATATACTTTGATATTCGATAAGTATTCATAAATATTCATGAATATTTATTAAATACCAAGTATTCGAGTTCGAATTCAAAAAACTATAGATATGAATATTAGAGTTCGCATTGGAATTCAATAATTTTAAACAAATACAAATACAAACATCTTAGTATTCGATTCGATCATTTACCGTCCTATCTACGGCTCTAGTAGGCCGCCCCTTGGTTTCATTTCGAGTTCTTCTTTGAATGCAGAATAGACATTTATATTGTAAAATTTTTAATTCTATATCATTCATGCATCACGATTCTTCAAGTACTGCACCTTGAGTTAAGTCAAAGATTCCCTCGCATTTTTGTGCACTTAGGAAAAAGTAAAGTGTTTGCTCATAATCATTCTTGAGCATATCAGATATTATTTAAAATAATGTCTAGAACATCTCAACATAGTGTCAAATATAGAATTATTTTAAGCTTTTATTCTGCTTATTTAGGAGAAAAGAATATTAGTAAAAGCACATGTGAAAAAAATAGTTTGGCTGTATTTATTAGCTTCTTGTGAGGGAAAAAAGAAAGAGGCAAAAAAAAAGCAAGGGGAAGATATATTTTTCCAGAATTATACTCTCAGTATAATTAATAAACCAAAAAAAAGGCAAATTTGTTCCAAAATTTTAATATCTTCTTAGATGATTAGTATTTGAATTGTAAAGATGGTGATAAAAAGAGATTATTTTAGTCCCCTTGTTGGATACTCTATTTAAAATTAGTTTCTACAGGATAAAAAAAATAAACACGGACTGGGATAGTGGGTCTAATCTATTTTAAAATACTATCATTACTTAAAACAAGCAAACAAACAAACAAATCGGCCTTATAAGAGTAATGGATAGTGTTGATGCTCGTAAACAAACAGTCGATGGGGGTTTCCCGCTGTCGGATGTAGTTTCGATCCTGGTGACGGTGGGAAAGAAGGAGAGGATGAATGTTGGGGTCGACTCCTCCTCTAACTTTATGTCTGTTTCTGAGCGCGCGGGGTGGACTGATAGCCTGCACATGCAAGAATAGTAGGAATACGGGGCTAGTTTCCCCCGTAGTACCTATGACGGTCAAGTCAGTTGATGAACTTCGGGAGGAATTGTTGAGAGGCCCCTGAGCCATTGAGATCCTTGCACGAGGTTTTTTCTCTAGAATTATTAAAATGCTCTGGATGAAAAAGATTCCGAATGGGAATAAAGCTAAGGTGTAAGAAGAAACAGATATCCAAAAAAAACTCTCCTACTCTTACCTTCCTTACCTCTTTTTATAGCCCTCTTATCTCTGCGAGTTTGACCTTCGGCTTTTGTTGACTACACATAGGAGGCGGTTTGAAAGGTGAACAGGCAGGCTGCTAAGTCATCTTTCTTCCTCCAGGTGTCGGCAGACGACTAGGAGGGAAGTCATTCAGTGTCAGGGAAGAAATGTCTTCTCAGTGCTCTGGGTTTGTCAGATTACGCAGGGTGTAGGGTAGGTCGGCTGCGTGGCCGTCTTTCTCTCTCCAGGTGGCGGCTGGGAATTGGAGGAGAAATCATTCGTGCACAGAGAAGCATCATGGCAATTCTCTGGGAAATGACTTGTAAGCCGAATAAGCGGCTGGTGCACGAGGGTTGTCAGAATGGAGATCTTGATGGGACTAATCAGTACTGTTGTGTCGATTAACGTCTGAAATGATCTTGGTTGGCTCTTATCCCTTTGGCCAAGACGGGTTGATCTGTGAGTCGTCATTATGATTTGGCGACTCGGTAGTCGAGTCGTCTGCTCAAGGGGTCGTCTTAATTGCGAGGGGTCGACTGATCCCGTTCTTCAAGTCGGTCATGATGACCTGTCGATCGGAATAAGGCTTGTCTGCTCGTCTAACCGAGGGACTTGGTTCTGACTGGGCTTTTGAGCCTCTAAGTTGATTCGGACCGTAGCTTGCTTGGGCTTATGCATGTATTTTTTCGATACTTCTATTTTGGTGTGGTGACTGATCATAACAGATGGAAAGGTGAGAAAAAAGATTTGCACAAGAAATGATTTTGTTAATTAAATAGGCCGCTAACCATAAGTTAGTTCATTGTGCTTATTTTTCCTTTTTTGGTCAAGAGAATTGCTGGGACCGTGACAGTTGTAAGGCTATGAGGCGGATAAGAGGATTCGCGAGTTCTCGTGTTCTTTCTAGATGCACTGGGAACATTTTCGAGTCTTTTCCGTCATTGCCTGGGAGAGGTGATCCTCTAAAGTCTGGAGGGGCCCAGGCACTTCGAGATCCTTCCATCCCCACCTATATAATTTTTCCCGCACCTGGCCTTTTTATCAAATCAAAGAAACAAGCTATTCGAATTCCCAAACCTAAAGGAAAACTTCTGTCGTCTGTTTAATTTTTTGTCAATTCGAAGAGAGATGGCTCTAATTCCTCAAATCTTTGGTCAGAGGAGCAACGTCTTCGACCCCTTCTCCCTCGACGTCTGGGATCCTTTTCAGGGCTGGCCTTTCAACTCTCCTCGCTCCCTTGCTGATCGTTCCGGTGCCAGCGGCGCTCTCAGCGAGACCTCAGCCTTCGCCAACACCCGCATCGACTGGAAAGAGACGCCTGAGGCCCACGTCTTCAAGGCCGATCTCCCCGGGATGAAGAAGGAAGAGGTGAAGGTGGAGGTCGAGGAAGAGGCCCACGTCTTCAAGGCCGATCTCCCCGGGATGAAGAAGGAAGAGGTGAAGGTGGAGGTCGAGGAAGGAAGAGTTCTGCAGATCAGCGGAGAGCGGAGCAAGGAGCACGAGGAGAAGAATGACAAGTGGCACAGGGTCGAGAGGAGCAGCGGCAAGTTCCTGAGGAGGTTCAGGCTGCCGGAGAACGCGAAGATGGATCAGGTGAAGGCGGCGATGGAGAACGGTGTGCTCACTGTGACCGTGCCTAAGGAGGAAGTCAAGAAGCCCGAGGTGAAGGCCATTGAAGTCTCTGGGTAATATGATACTAGGATTCGTATAGTCGGTTTTATTTCTGAGTATGATCCGTTGGTATGTTGTGAGTCAGGTCGAAGGTTTGTGTGAGTGTCTAGTTATTTGCGTCTGTGTGAGTTGAGGTCTACATATATCATGTAATAATCGTATGTTGATTATGAGTTTAAATTGAGGTATCTAAAGGTATGGAGCTTGAATGCTAAATATTTTTGCTAGATAATTGGTGTGTGAGGGATAGGAGTGTATTTGGTACGGATACTGTTCGGATATGATGTTTGTCATATTCATATCCGCTTCCTCTTTTCGATTATGGATTCGGATATGAATATAACTTAGTAAAAAAAACTCAACCATATCCGTTAAAATCGAATACGCTTATACATGAGGATATATAAGTGAATATACATGCAGATACAAAACGGATAAAAAAATTAGATATTGTTGATAAAAATATAGTTTATGTGATATCAAAGTGTGCATTAATATATTCATTATATCTAAAAAGATAAGATCAGATATCTTGATCGTTAAAATTAACATTATACCCATAATCTAAATGCTAAAACTATTATACCCATAATCTAAATGCTAAAACTATTGTAACAATATGACGAATATGGATATTTCGGATACGATTTCGGATATTCTACTATGAAATTATATTTGTAATTATATTTTATCGGTTATAGATTTGAGCAATCATATTTGTATCCTAACGAATACGTTAAGGATATTTTCTCGGTTACGGATATGGTTTAGTACCCCTA